TTTCTCCCACACAGTAGCTGGTGCATCCCAGCCACCAGTGTTTCCGTCAGCACAACCTTTCGCTTAGCAGCCAAACCCTTAATCTCAACACCACCGGGGCTCCAACCTGCTGTGATGAATCCTTTGATTATACCCATGTGCTCTGAGAGGACAGTAAGCATAGGGCGCTAAGGAAAGGTATCCAAGGTTACACTCCAAGCAAGCGATGGGGGTAGCTTCACATCCAGCAGCCCTCGCTCTGTAGAGGAGCCCATGCTCACCACGAAGCTATACACAAAGCCGGGAGTGGGGGGTGTCAAGTGAGGACAAGACAGTGCCCTTCGGACGATGGGAGGAGGTAGTGTGGGTTTCACTTCGTGTATCTTTAAGCCCCAGTGCTCAGACCTTCACAAGTAAAGAGGGGGTGAGGGAATCACCCCCACCTCGGTCCATAGTCAGTCACCAGGAGCCAATGAGGCATTTTCTCTCCACAGACACACTCCCTTTTCCTCTCCAGAGCAGTGATGACCTCCATTCTCCACATCGGTGTTCTTGTGTATGATTAACGTCAGTTTTGGGGGGGAAATGATCGGTTCTTCCTGTGTGTGACTGTGCCAGGCACCAGGGCTGTGGAACATAAGAGACTACTTTAACAGGGCAAACATCTCCGCAGTCGAGTGATTGCTTTAAAGTGAGGTTCAAGGACATTGGCTTGACTCACTGTCAGACACTGACCACGTGGAGCATCTGGTGGCCAAGTTTCTGAGCCTTACTGCATCGCCCACCTCTATCTGATTTGCTAATGGAGGGATCTGACACCTAAGCACTCAGACACCGTTAGTCAGGAGTCAGAAACACGCAGGGGAAATGTCTGAGATCCTCGAGCTTGGAATCTGTAGGAAATGCTTCTTGCACAGTAAGAACTTGCCAGCAATGGCAAGGAATCTTGGCAAAAGAGTAAGCTCTTGGGGTCTGGGGATGTTCACATGGGGGCTGTTTAAATCCTAGGATACCCTACCCCAGCTCACTTCCCTGACCAAAGCAGAGCAGGCAGCCTGTTGGAGTCAAGTCAGGAATATTAGAGAGGATCCCTAAATTGGGGAGGCAGTGGTCCCTTATAATCCTAAGGGGCTAGGATGATGAGGAAAAGGATGAAGGCCACTAAAAGTTATCATTGCTGTTTATAACATCCCCTGCCCAAATCCATACAGCCAAGCCTGCTGGAAAATCAAGGAGCCAACCAACAAAGAACAAATTCACTCTTGTGCCGTCTGTTGTTAGAAGGTGCACAGACATCTCTTGGGCTCCGAACAGGTGACTTCACGGCCGATGCCTTTCTTTTCCCGCAAGTCTGTGTGGCTCTCTACACCTGTACCTTCTCACGCAGCACTGTTTGTCCTTATGAGCACCATGGATTTTCTGTGGTTTAATCTGAGGGGAGAATGCTTTGTCGTGTTTGGAAGGCGGGGGCTTGTCCTGGTTCTCCTCTGGACACTGGAAAGTCAACCAACTGAAAGAGGCCAGCCTCAAGGTCAGAGAGTAGAGAAGCCCAAAGCATTCAGTGTGCACATCCAAGCAGGTGCTGCTCACAAGCAGAAGTTAGTCCTCCAAGTTGCAGCCATGGCCCTGAGCAGTAAGCACTGGTTCAAGACCCAGGCCACAACAAGACATTGGCAAGAGAGTAAAAGCCACGTAACTGCTGATTGTGAGTACCCTACCAACAACCAGTTATGCCAACCCCCTTCTCTTGGCGCCGTGGACATGGAGTCTGTGATCCAGCCAGAGTTCTGGTTACACCTTGCTTTATAGAGAAACTCTATGAAAGCCAGGCTTACAAAACCCCAGTCCTGTGGCATTGTTGTTTTCCAAAAGCCCAGTTTCCAAGGGAAAAAGACAACATGATTGGCAAGCTGGTCAAGTTTCTCAACCTCTCTGGCATTCGAAGTAAAAAGAGGGGCTTGGTTTAGGCTAACTCTAATACCTTTTCCCCTTTTAAAAGCCCTCTTTTCACCTCTGCAAGAACCAGGTCCTTCCTTAGTCTAGTGGCGCCCAAGATCTTGCAGAAAGCGAGGCAGGGCTCAGGCCAATTATACATTCAATGCTGACCTCCCAGAAGCTTTTAAGACTGAACAATCACATTACGGAGTACTCTGGATAATCAAAATAAAGTTACCGCCATCCCACCGGGCCGATGGCAGAAGGGCATCAAACATATTGGTCCATCCATCTCGGTGTCTCTCCTGTGAACCGAGAGAGCCGCATTAGCTGGAGGTCTCTGGGGCTGCTTTCTATCCTAAGTTTCTGCGAATTTAGGGTGGGGGGGTTTCTTAATAAAATGAAGGCAGAAAGACGCCCCTCCCCTGCCCAGGAAAACAGAGCCCCGAGTCTCCAAACCTAACAGCAAACAGAGCACAATCCTGAAATGACTTCAGTTTACTCATGAGGCCAGTTCATGTGGGTTTGCTTTGCTGCGGATGTGGGTTGTGTGCCCCGTGTCGGGGGAGTCTGAGGGGAGTTCCACGGCATCGGGTGCTGCTCGGTGTCTTCGTGCAAAGCCCCCTTCCAGTCTCATGACGGTGCTCAGGCCTGCGTTCTTGGTGGCAGGCTGGAGGGAGGGAGAAGATGTTTTGAGAAGGGTTGATTGAGATCTGGATTCCTCTTCATTTGAAACAAATACGTAATTGCCTATTCCTCCTTGCTGGTTCTCTCTACCCACCCACGTTGCAAAACTGTAACTCTTCCAAAACTCAAGCTCTGCCTTGGGATAATCCACTCTCTCTCTTTTGAATTACAGTATTCTCAAATGAGGGATGAAGTATTCAAGTCAAACCTGGTCTGTGCATTTATCGTTCTTCTATTTATCACGGCAATCCAAAGTTTGCTGCCTTCTTCCAGGTGAGTATGGAGGACTGAACGCTCAGGGGACGTGCCTTCGGGACATGATGGGTCCTTCACCGGGAGCCAAGCAGCTGCTTTTGCCAGGGATCAAGATGGAAATAACTGGGTGTAGGGCTCAAACCAAACTGTGGGACAAGTTGGGTCTGCTGTAGTTGTCTTTCATTGCCTAATAATTACTCTGCCGAGGCAAGAGTCTTTTCTGCCAATCTTAACAAAAACAACAAAAGCCAAATTAGGATACCTTCATATTTGACACTGTACCCAGTAATGCACAGGGAAGTATAAGCACGTCCATTGCCATTTACTCCTCCCTCTGTTAATTCCTTCTGAGTTGTGCATAGATATAGGATCTCAGATGCCTAACTCAAAGTGGCCCTTTCATGGGAAGGCAGAACACCTGTGTGTGTGCCAGGTACTGTCCCAAATACTTTACTGATGGCCACTCATGTTATTCTCTTAACAACCCAGTGAGGTAGGTACTGTTTTTGTCCCCAGTGGAAAGAGAAAACTGAGGTTCTGGGCCGTGAAGTAATTTGCCCACTGTCTCAATGTGGAAACATATGCAAGTCTGGAGACACATCCAGACTGTCCAGATCCAGAGCCTGTACTCTCAGCACTCTTTGAGACATATACCTCGTGTAAGCCAAAGGAGCTAAAACCAGTTTGAGGCTGGCTCTGGAATAGACTCATGATGGCCATGCTGTTATCTCTTTCCTCCACTGTAAGTAGCTCCTCAGTGATACTCCCTCCTCCACAATCTCACGGTAAGACTTCCTCTCAGAAGATGTTGAGAAAAAGATCACCAGAAGTTTGCTCCGTGTCTAACAGGTAGAAGACTGTGATGGATCGGAAAAAAAGGATCACTTTTCAGTCCGTGTTCCCCATCGGCTAAGCTGCAGTGCAGTAGGAATGAGAGGCCGTACTGATGGCTCCTGGTTACTAAGCACTCATGGGCCCAGAAAATGCAAAATCCTTTGCACATATTGTCTCCAAGAAGTCCCCAGACTAATCAATAAATGAGGGTGCATTTTCATTCCCAAGCCTCCTCACTACATAATCACCGAGTTGGGATTTGAACCCAGAGACACAGTCTGGGTGCTGAACTGCTTGATTGCATTGTGCAAAATCGGTGACTCCTGCTGACTAGGTGTTCCAAGAAAAGATTGCCCTCAAGGTGATATTTGGAGCTGAAAGGGGTGAGGGAGAGAATGTGGAAGAGCATCCCCAGTGTGGAAAACGGCACTGCAAAGGAGGAGAAGCATGGAAGGCCATGTGTTTGAAGAACATCAAGGAAGTTGGAGAGTGCGAAGTGACAACTTGGGCAAAGATGTGTGCGTAGCAGCTGACAGAAATGCAGTGTTCATAATGCCACCCTCGGCACTGGGAATTGGCCCCGCCCTACAAGATCCCGGAGGATTTTCTTTAGAAAGGCTGTGGATTGACAGAGAAAGAGGTACACATTCACTAACACGTAGGGACCACTTGAGTTTGAGCTCTTCTTCATGAGCAAGGGATACTGGGAGTGGGGAGTGGAGATTCTGGAAAGATGATAGCAGAATGTCTAAGCAGCTAGACAGAAAAACCAAAAAGTTCATGGACCAGCTTCATGACAAAAACAAGTACTGTGGCAGCCCCATGAGTTCCAAAACTGTACGTGGATAAGGACAGCCCACCAACAGCAGACTATGCGTTCTCCTCAAGGGGACGTGGAACCCTCACCAAGAAAGATAACCTAAGTGGCACCTATGTAAAAGAATGGGAATGATACAAAGTCAGCTCTCAGTCCACAATGGAGTGAAACTAGGCATCAAAAAGTGAACTACGCATGAGAAAATGCACCCAATAGCCGATAATTTAATAATACTCTTCTACATAGCACATAGAGCAAAGATGCCACGAAAGAAATTTCAAAATATTTTGAACGAAATGAAAAAAGAGCATTTCACAATGTGTTGGGTGCAGTGATAGCAGTGCTTAGAGGGAAATTCATAGCTTTAGAAAAAATAAAGTATTGAAAAATCAGTGGGTCCAGAGGGAAGGAGTTTGTAAGTCTGGTTAAGGAATTGTGACTGATTGGCAGCAGAGGCAAATTTATTGTTATATTTTTGTGATGAGGTTTGTGTTAGAAGGACCACACTGGACATGGATAATGGGAAGATGGCTAGGAGGGGCTAGCTTTAGTATTGGGAAGACAAACTGCATAACTCCAGGTAGGATATGCTACAGCAGATTTGTGGCAATGGAAGTAGACAAGAGAGGAAGGGTGTGTAGACACTTAGGACAAGCAGTTGACAGGATCTGGTGACTGTCGGGATAGGGGGCAGGGGGTAAAGGGAAAGAAGAGTCAGGAGACTAGGATAACCCGAAGGACTAGACTTGGCACTGAGATAAGAAAAGTGGCCTCTGTCCCCATAGGAACCCAAGCATCACCCTCCACAGTTGCCCGGGGTAGGACCCTATCCAGGTGAGGCATCCACTGGCTCTGGAAACCTACGTTCTGGTGGAGTGACCTGGATCCAACCCCAGCAGCCACCTGGGTAGAGTCTGTGACTCTGGGGTTTAAGCAGAAGCCAGTAACCGCAATGCAGCCACTGCCCACCCTCAGCTGGGTCGCGAAGAGCAAAACTGGAAAACATCAAAGCTGAACTCTGACATGGCGCGCCACATGTTGGGGCCCGTGGGCCCCAGACCCCACAAACACTTTTTTGAATGTGTGCTTGCTTCCTCTCCAATGCAGGCTGCTGCTTTGTGGCTGAACAGATGACAGGACCTTCCACTGCCATTTCATTCACGGCGCTTTCAGCTTTCTGTTTGTATGGCCGCAGCACATTCCCAGCCTTCTCTGCCAAAAAGCAACAGACCCTGACAGAGAAAGCTGGAGCTGGCCCAAGTCCCATGTCAGAGAGGTTCCTCTCAAAGAAGGGTAAACTGAGGAAAGAGAAGATGCTGTGTTGTGGAATTATAGGACAATGCATTTCCGCCAGCCTGTGTGAAAGCGAACGAAGGCAGAAAAGAAGGTGAGGAAAGGCAGAAAGAGGGAAGGAAGGAGAGAGAGGAGGAGGAGGAAGGTGGAAGAGGAAGAGGAGGAGGAAAGAGGCCATGAATCATAGTTCTTTGTGTGTATCTTATTAGGGAGATGTCTTAGACCAAGACACTTCACCTCCCGGAAGCCAGTTTCCTCATCTGTGCAATGGGGACAATGACACCCACTTCCCATGGCTGCTGGGAAGTTGGAATGAGCTGTGTCCTTTTTTATTTGGGGTACATTGTGGCTCTTTTCTGAGCCACAGTATTTCCATCCACCGAAGGCACTAAAAATACATCCTTCTTGGTGTCGCGAAGAGGATCAAATGCACTCCTAGACATATCAGCTCGTTGCAAATTCTAAAATGCCCCCACATGTCATCTTCCAGAACAATCTGAGTGTCTGTTCCCTATTGTTCCACAAGCTGCCAGTGGCTGTTCACTCATCTCCTTTGATTTCTGCCTTCCCAGGAAACATCAAATCATGATAGCAGCTCCAGGCTGGTTTCAGAGACAGACTGCAGAGAGTAATTAGAAGCTAATGTCTGGAAATGATGGGGATAGAGCTGTTTGCAAATCCCTTGTCATTCTTTCTGAGACTCGATTTCAGAAATGAAAGGTTTGCTTGCCTCTTACACACACCAACGATACAAAAGCCAATGCAGAACCCCTTGGCCTCCTGAATAAATCTAAAATTAGATAAAAGTTACCGTTTGATGCTATGATCATTGTGTGTGCAGAAATCAATGAGCGCTGAGAAGCTGCGGCCGACACTGCCCCCGAGTTCCACGTGCAGTGCCAGGAGCTGGGTTAGGAAGCTCATCTTCTAAGACGTACTTGGGTCATGAAACTCAACACCCAAATCAAGGCCATTGAATCCATGCCAACTCAAGCAACCCTATAGGACAAGGTAGAACTGCCCCTGTGGGTTTCCAAGACTGTAACTCTTTATGGGAGTAGACAGCCTCATCTCCCTCCTGCTGAGCTGGCTGGTGCTTTCAAACTGCAGACCCTGAGGATCACAACACAGAAGCACTACATCACCAGGGCTCAGGTGGATTCTACGTGCATATCCTCTCAAACAACCCTCAGCATATATTTATTTTATTTTATTGGGGGCTCTGGCAGCTCTTATCACAATCCATACATATATCCATTGTATCAAACGCATCTGTACATATGTTGTCATCATCTTGTTCAAAACATTTTCTTTCTTCTTGAACCCTTAGCATCGGCTCCTCATTTTGTCTTCCCTCAGCATATTTTGTGCCCTCCTCCATGCCACCCCAAGAATATACACAAAAGCCCAATAGCGCAATGAACAACAAAGCATCCTCTTTACACATTTCGCAGCAAGCTCTGATTAGTCTGTAAAAACAATGATCAAGCTGGACGACATAAGGTCCCTAAAGACAAGAGACCCTGGGGGCCATCCGTTTGCATCTGTCTTTTATGTCTCCCTGACCTGGGAGACCAGGCTGCCATGCAAGAAGTATGTAAGGTACACAACTCCAGTGGCCGAAGGAAGGAGGGAGGCACACCTGTGCTCACCTGTGCTTAGGACAAGTTAGCTGACGGAAGGGCAGAGATGGCCAGGCCTTCTCCTATAGAGTAGATTGAGGCTCTGGCTTCCCAACCCTCCCGTGGATCTGAAAGAAGGCGGCATCTGGGCTATGTGTGAACATTGGCTTTTAACCATGATGCTCTATGAATGGGGTCCGCTGAACCTCCCAAACGGACTCTGCCGTTGGAGTCAACTGTCCTCCTCACTTGAGCGTTACGAAGAAAAAACCAGGAATGTGGTAGAAGTCCTCTTTCCAGGGAAAGCTGGCAAAGGGAGGAATGGGGTCCAGCCCTCTCTCCTAAGGAGCAGAAGTGAGTCGTGATGGAGCAGCCTTTGGTTCTCCTTCTGAAAATTCCCTCGCTTACTGCTGTCAAGTCCATTCTAACTAGTGACCTTGTGGCTTACAGAA